ATCCATTCATAATATGGCGGGGTGCTGTGCTCACCAGGCATGTGGTAGAAAACGTAGAGTTTGCTGGGGTAGATTGCATAATTGTCATCTGTATTATTACAGACTGGGCCAGGGCCTCAAGGAACAGTGCAAGGAGGGAATAATCGCAGGATATCCTTCGAAAAGATAAGATCTGAGGTCCTAAGTCTGAGCCACTTAGGTTGGGTGCCAGAGGCAAAGCAGAGGAAGGAAGGAGGTTTGAAGGCCTGGATGGAGAGTGAATAAGGCCATATCATTCAAGACTTGGTCACACCGAATAATCTGGAGTTTGAAAATTAAAGTGAGTAGGTACTGAAGATGTCTTAAGCAAGGGCTCTAACCAGGAGCATCAACCTCCTAGACAGGCTCTCACTCCCACTCCTCATTTCGATAGCCTCACTGCTACTACAGTGGGTTTTTGTTTCTGTTTTGAGACGGTCTTGCTGTGCAGTTCAGGCTGGTATTGAATTTACTATATAGCCCAGGCTGGCCTGGAACTTGCAGCAATCCTCCTGCCTCAGCCGCCCAAGTGCTGGGATTACAGGCATCTACCACACCATACCTGGCTAGTATTACTATTTTAATGTTCAGTTCTTATTGAAAGGAAACATACACGTACAAGACGATAACCCAGAAATGCCTGTGACAATGGGGCATTGGGTAGCACTCTGGGAGGCTGAGGCAGGAGGAGTGAAAAGTTTGAGCTCAGCCTAGGCAATTTAGCAACCACCTGTCTCCAAAAAAAAAAAAGTAGAGGTGATGGAGCACTCAGTGTAAAAGCCCTGAGTTCAGTCCCTGTCAGAACACACACACACACACACACACACACACACACAATGCGCACATCTTTAACCCAGAACAAAGGTTTTACTGGCAGATCATGACCTCACAAAAGTGCATGTCCACAGCAGGAGATGTTCGTCACAGTGTCGCGTTGAAAGTATTGCCTTATGCCAAATACGTAACCACTTGTGTGAGAAAATATCCAACAAATATGGCAAAATACCAACTGTCTTAGACTGTTTGTGCTGCTAAAACAAAATACCATAGACAGTGGCTTACCAACAACAGAAATGTGTCTCTCACACTTGTGGAAACTGAAAGTCCAAGATCAAGGAACCAGCAGGTTGAGTGTCTGAAGAGTCAACTTTAGTACATTCTCACATGTGGGAGCGATAAGGCTACTCCAGGGTCTCTTTCGTAAGAGCACTAATCCCATTGGCAAAAGGCCTCACCTCCTAATGGCACCACACTGGAGATGAGGTTTAACGAGGAATTTTGGGGTTACATGCAGATCACAGCATGAACAGTGCTTCAAATCAGTACGAAAAACACATCTGGGACTGAGGGTGTAGCTCAGTATTAGAACACTTGCTTAGCATGTCCTGGATTTGATCCCAAGTACTGTGCTGCCATAGAGAAAAAAGCCCAACAAACTCAACAGAAGCCAGGGCATGGATGGACAGGTGATTAAGACCGGGGACCCGAGTGATCACAAAAAAGATGTCCAGTTTCATCAATCGAAAAAAGACAAAATACCACTTTTTGGCCATTGACAAAGTTGATTTGGTAAAGGATCAGACACTCTCCATGAACATTAGAACAGTGGTTTAGCACTTTCATGATAGTTTGTATTATGTTTGTGATGCAGGGGATTGAACCCAGGGCCTCACTGCTAGGCAAATGTTCTACCACTGAGCTACAAACCAGTAACAACATGTATTTTAAATGTCCGATCCTTTTTGGGGTTTTTTGTTGTTGTTGTTGTTTTTGTTTTTTTGACACAGGGTCTCACTATGTAGTTGAGACTGACCTGGAACTCACTATGTAGCCCAGGCTGGTCTCGAACTCACAGCGATCCTCCTGCCTCAGCCTCCAGAGTGCTGGGATTATAGGCGTGCGCTACCATGCCCGTCAATGTTCAATTCTTTTGACTCAAATTCCACTTCTAGAAAATTATCCCTACAATCACATGTACATACACACTGTCACTGGAATATTATTTAAAGAAAATAAATCTTTTGATAAGGAAGTGGCTGACTACAAAGGTAGATTCACACAAAATTTTTGTGGACATTAAAAATAATCAAAAAAATACAATCAGGGTGTAACGGTAAAGAAAAAAATGATTACGCATGGGGCAGAATCAAGCCATGAAATGGTGTTTAGTTGTTTCGTTTGATCCTGTTTATGAAACTCCATACACAGTGATATGTGTATATAGAATATTATTCACAGTGGTTAGCTCTGAGGTGTGGAATTTCAGAGGTCTTTTATTTTGTGCAACAGATTTTTTTTCTTATAGGCAGATATTGATTTTCCTTTTTCGTTTTTTTCTTTCTTTTTTTTGGTGATACTAGGGATTGAGGTCAGGGACATTCTTCCACTGAGCTACATCCCTGGTCCTTTTTTTTTTTTTGTTTTTTTTAAATGTTATTTTGAATCAGTCTCACTAAATTTCTCAAGCTGGGCTCAGACTTGCAATCCTGAGTAGCTAGGATTACAGGCAGGAGCTGCCACAGAGGACTTTGATCTTCTAATGTAAAAATATTTTACAGAAAATAAAGCAATGAAATAATAAAATAATGGCTAAGTTGAATGTTCATGGAAAAGCCAGGCATGGTGGTACCTGTAATGATAGCCCTTGGGGGCGCTAAACCAGAGGATCTCAAGTTCAAGACCAGCCTGGACTACACAGAGAACTCCTGTCTCAAAAAAAAAAAAAAAGAAAAAAAAAAGTTCACAGAAGGAAATAGTCAAAAGATAAAACTAAGTGAAAAAATAAAACCTCGTTACAAAATTACGTAAAGGACGCATTTTTGCTAAATACATAATGAGAAAATATTTGGTATGATAATGAAATCCTCCTGCTCCTCACCCCCTCAAATGCCCTAACCTTACCAGAAGGTTAGCAGTGGTTCATTTTCAGCGAGTCAGTTTTCTTTTCCATTGTGTTTCTCATTTCTAGGTTTTGTGTATCCAACATATTATTTGCATAGGGCTGGGAGTGGGAAATAGAAAGGAGTTGCCCAGCTAAAGAGATCTGTACATGCGAGCTCCAGGCCTGGCACCCCAGTGGCCTGGTGCTGTGGGGCAGCCTTTGCTGGGATGTGGCGAGGTCTCGTCCTTGGCTGAGTCCCCCCACCTCCCTGGGTGGTTTGCCATGTGGGGGTGGGGGGAAGAAAGCAAGGATTTAGTGCCCTCCTCAGAGTGGTACCGTGAAACTGTTTATTACTAGAAAAGAGTTCTCTCCCAAGCTCAGCCTGAGGCATTTCCTGGAGTCAAGTTCTGAGAGTCTTTTGAGTTAGCAAACCCGGAGGACTCCCACCTCCTGCTCCGAGCAGGAGTCAGGAAAAGCTGAGAGTGTGGGGAACAAACCAAGCAAGTTCCAGAAGGTCTCTGAGATCGTCCTCTGAGAAATTAGCATCCTGCAGAGCTCTGAGCAAGCAGAGTATTTGAAGAAGGCTTTTTTCTTTTTCTTTTTCCTTCTTTTTTTTTTTGGTGGTGGTGGGACACCGACCTCAGGACCTTGCGCTTGCAAGGCAGGCCGAGCCCCACTGAGCTAAATCCCCAGCCCTGGGCTAAGTATTTGAGCTGATATCCTATTCCCCTGGCTTCTCTTGTGTTCAGAAATACCCCTCTACGGCTGGCCTTGTGGCTTAGGGGTAGCGTGCTTGTCTA